CTTTTGTATTGTGCTTCATCACACTGGTGGATGGCGTATGTTTTAGATCAGATTATTCAGTTTCTCTGACAAGTCTGTGGGTGTTCAGAATGATTGTCCAATGTGTATTGTCCTTTCATGTGTGTTTCTAATAATTAAATTGTGACAACCTGAAATGTTCCATCATTCTCCTGTGATGTCTCCCACTCCTACATAACTTTCTGATGTGTGCTTTTCAATGGCAATTCATTATTACAAGGGAGCCAAGTATACACAATGTGTATAATACTTACAGATCTGCATGAGTCTTATCATCTCATCTCCTGCTGATGGCATCACCAGAATTTCTGAATCAAAAGATAAATAATAGCTAATTATGTCTTCGTAATTATAATAATAAATGATTAAAGTGCACCTGTATGATAAATATAAACAAATGTAAACATTTAAAATAACATTTTAAGTGCTTTAAAGTGACCCTGTCATTATCTAACACCATGCAAAATAGCCTCTAAAAGAAGTGGGTAGTTACCTTTTTTGCTGCCTGCACAGCCCAAATAACGTCCTATTCACCAGAAATTCACAGCTGAGATCTGAAGGGAAACTGATGCTTCAGGGAGTATTTATCTCCTGGGTCTCCACAATGTTCAGTGGTTCCTCTCTCTAACCTTCGCTTCAAGGAAGCCAAGCATCCGTCCCAATTGTACCTATAGGGTTAGATTATATATTCCAGATCTCTGTTCCAATAATTGCCAATACATCCATAAGTCCATAGTCCAAGGGGAATTGCCCTAAACAAGCACAGAATCATGGCTGAACTAATGATATATAGAACAATTATGTACAATTAATCATGCAAACAAGATATGAATATAATGAGGGCAATGACCAATATATGAATTCATAATCATGGTTTCTGTGTGGGTTCCAGGGAGGTTATTTATGTTGTATACATCTATTTATGGTTTTATATGGATGAATTTTAGCATATTTATATGTATAGACATTATGAATTGAGTATATTAAAAATGGAATTTTATTATATATATGAATCAATTGACTTTATTGTTGGATCAATTCCCTGCTATTCTCCAGTGGTCACCACAAAGCCCCTTTCTTTCTCTTTCCCCCTTTTTTTGATATATATTGCATATATAGGTGTGGTGTCCCAGTTTGTGTGATGGTTCTTAACTTTGTGCCTATATGACTGGCCACGTACACTGTACGTGACGAGTTATATCAGGCTCTGTAATGCCGGTAACTGCTGATTCTCAGCGGCTACCAGTCATTAATGAATGCCTCAGTATTGAGGCATTCATTGATGAAATAGTTAAGCTTTTGTAAAAGCTTATTTCTTTCATTAATGAAAGAATGAAGCCGTTACATGCAAATACGGGAGCGCTAAATAGCTCTCCGGTATTTGACAGCTGAAAATAGCAGAGGGGCAGCAGAGTGACTAACCTCCCTGCTATTTGTTTTGACAGCTCCATAGACTGGCCCGATGTTTATGAAGCTGTGTGATACATCTCAAGCAAAGAGATAAAAGAGATACAATATATCTCTTTGCTTGAAATGTATCATTTCTGATCGTCTAGGCACGATAAAAGAGCTTTAGTGAGATCTGAATCTGACATGCTGTTAGGATCAGTCTCTACGGTTATTATTAGCTGTTCCTAAGTTTGGAGCAGCCTAATAATAGCCAACAATTAAAAAAAGTTAATTTATCAAGCAGTCACAGTGACTGCTTGATATAAACTGACTTTTTTTTTACAAAGTATAAAAAAATAAATAAAGTGTAAAACAAAATTAGGAAAATAAAAATTATATATAAGCATATTTTTATACTATATTATAAAACATTTCAAAAAAATTATCAAAACTTGTGAAAAAAGTGTTTTCTTTTAGTTGTTCCCTCATTTTTTATATTTGATTCAAACTAAGTGAGGTGTTAGGTACATGTTTGATATAATTATATAGCCCTATCTGTCCTCTAAAAAACAATATATTATATGTGTGGGCACATTTATTAAGAAAGTATATTACTGCTGTGGAAGAATCACAAAGCAAAAATGTAAAAAGTGTGTCAGTCATTTATGAACAGAAAGTGAAAACTAGCTCAGTCATGAAGGGGTTACAGGACTCAGAAGTGATGTGGAAGCCTGAAGAAGACTGGTAAATCTGTCACTTCAAAAAAGCTTTCAGCTGTGTCTAATGCAATTGTATGACAGGTTTATCAATATATTTTATCATTAACAAGCTTAGAGAGGATCTGAGCAGCCTCTGTGGGTGCTTTCTACTTGAGAAGTAGTGTTAGTAAATACATTTAGCTTGTTTTCAGCCTCTTTTAGTACCAGAACAACAGTGCTCAGAGTTGCAGAGGGAGAAGCAGCACGCATAGCTAATCAGTTAATGCGCTGACATGGAGCATGCCAATAGTAGAAGAAAGCAGGATAAAAAAAAGACATGACCTCATCTCTGTGCTGTTTCTCCTCCACTACACAGTCACAGATTTGGGACGGGTCCATAACAGCCTGGGTTCAGAGGATGTAGGTTGAATGTCACTGGCCACTGTCATTCAACTCAGAAGATCGTGGACATCTAGTGGTGGAAACGAAGTACTGTAAGGGAAAGCTCATTGATTATTGCAGCAAAATGTTTAAAAAAAAATCTTTTAATAGAATATTCCTTTTTTTATTGGAGTTCTGCTTTAGGGGTTTGTTCAAGTCATGGCTGCAGTCATCAACTGCATTTTTCTGCACACTGTCGAACACATATGGTGTTAACAGAAAAACACAAATCAGTGGACCTGGTGTGAACAAGCCCTAAGAATGACTTCAGGTAGAAGTATATCCTATAAAAGCCCAGGGACAACACAATAGCTCCATGCAGATAGTGTCTTGACCATAGCAAGATTTGAACCCGGAACCTCAAGGCTGCAAGTGCTAACCATTGAGCCACTGTATGGCCCGCTTGCATGGAGCGTAACTTCTTTTATAAAAAGTTTTCCTTGAAGGCAGATAACATATTGTTTTGAGTGTTTGGTGTTTGCTGTGAAACTCATGCTGTATAACTTGTCGGCTGAATGATTGTGAGGTTCTATTTACTCATAAGAATACTTGTTCACAGAAAAAGAATCTTCAGCTTAGTATCCTATCTGATCTCTTCAATTTCGAGTGAACTGTAACACCCCACTTATACCGCAATCAAATATTTTGTGAATGTAAATTAAGGTAAAGATTTATAGCTCTTGTTAAGAAACCTTCTTCCCATTCTCAGCAATAGTGACATTTGGCAGATTCAGGAATAAATAATCTTATGTGGCAAGGGTATGCCTTATCAAACATATGCAGATCAGAGCTAATTAATGCAAATTAAGGCTTCCTGTCTATCTAGTGGGAAAAGAAATGTCCAAATGTTATGAAATCCAGTTAGTATGCTTATTACCGTAATTGTTTTATATGGGGTGGCTCTTAATTAAAATATGTAAATTGACCTTAATTGCTGTGTGCTAATGGGGTTCATGTTATATCATCACGGATCTCTTAAACTCTATGGCCAGGGGAGTGAGAGTGTTATATAGAATTTTAATAATCTTTGATTAAATGACCTTTATTCATTGTGCTGTTGAGGAAGAATTCTTAAATACGATCCAATTCTCTTGCGATGCTCTATATGGGTACTTTTTTTTTATCCCTATGATTGTTATTAGTTAGTACAGCATTTTACTGGACAATAAACAGTCTTACAGTGTTAGTAACATTGTTGCAATTCTTATGCCAATTATATTTTAGTGTTGCAGAACACTGCAACAGAAAACACTTTCTGTTTCACATTTTATTAAGTAGTACAATAAAGTATGAATATGTTTTGCAAACAAAAATACATATTATTTTGTTTTGGTTTCCTTTTATTAGAATGTATATGAAAAAACAGGGCAATGTTTTCTAATTATTTCACATGATTTTTAGCTGATATTGTGGGGGGAAAAAGCAACAAACAAAAAAATGCTTCCAAACTGTTTTACTAATATTTTGTAGGATCAAAACAAGTAATTAAACTCCTCTTCTCTTTAACAAATTTGCATTAATTATTCCTGTTGCTGGCACTGCCTCTCAGAATTATGTGGTGAGACATTAATGTCAATAGGGAATCCAACAACTCTATTACAGGTAACAGTGGTATATACATCAATTGCATACTAAATACAAAACATCTGCATAATCAGCCATGTAAACATAAATTCAAGCTTTCTTTTGATTCTGTATTACAGAAGTCCCACTTTGCTTTCCCCTGCAGATGTATGGGAAAGACACATGCCATCTTCCTATTGTGTAACCTAGAGGAGCACCAAACTGGAGATATAGGTAGCAAGTAATACATTCTGTGTAAACTTGGCTAAAGGATAAGTTCACTTTAAAACAAATTGTTCTTCTACCTACCTCAATCCTGTGCTGCAGTCTTGGCTGTGCCTGTACATTACAGCCCCCTAGTCATCTATGTGATGATCTTCAAGGAATGCCTCTTTTGGTGCCTGGCCTCATAGGTCTACAGGGCACTAATGTGCACACCTGGTCAAGACAGCTAATGCTTGTAGCACTGGAATAAAACAAACAGTAAAGCTCAGGCCATCAGCTCAAGCTAAGTATGCATCTACAGCAAGGAATGGTTGGTTGGGTTAGGTCAAGGGAAATAAAAGGAAATGGATAAGTGCACTTTATTTTAAAGTCAGGGATAGGGGAAACATTTGAGTGAACCTTATGTAAGTGATAAACCGCACTAATATTTTTGGAGGTGAAACAATTGTGGAAATGTCCCTATGTTTGTTTTGGCATCCTTATTGTGTGTAATTATTTGTCTGTTTTTTTTAAAGTATGTTTCCCTTGACTAGAGCCTACATTTAGGATCTTGTAAAGATTGTGTTAGTTAGGATTTCTTTCCTGATGTAGTAGGTATAACAGTCTACTATTAGTAATGACCAGCTGACTCAGTTATTTACCGAAAGCTGTCTTTATTCAATGCAGGATATAGTGACAAATGTTTCCCCAAGAATCATCCGAGGAACAACATCTGGCCACATGTATGGTCCTGGCCAGGGGTCCTTCTTGAATATTGAACTCATTAGTGAGAAGACTGCTGCTTACTGGTGCAAATCTACCACTGAATTGAAGAAGGACTTTCCCAAACATGTAAGTTGGCCTTGATTCACTCAAAATGTATACAGTAAATTATGTGCAAATGCTTTTGAAATTTCAATGATAAGAGGATTGATTTATGGAATGAATAGAGGATATTCTTCTAGCAATATGTATGTTCACTTTGTACAGTGAATGTTACTGAAAAGGGTGAAGTTGTGTTCACATTGAATACCCAATCATGTGTGAGGGAAATTCAAATAAAGGATATTTGCGAGCAAATCGTGGTTATTCCATGTGAACATTCATTTTATAAAGTCTGTTTAGTAAACAACTTCTATTCTTTTAGTTAATGAACCCTACAGTGATGTAAAAACTGTACATGAATCACAGTTTAAAGAGGGTATTTTTAATACATTTACTAAGATGAGGAGCACTTCATGTTTATGCCTCAGTTCATCTTTTGATGTATGAGTTTATTTTGCCACACTACAGCAGTTTTCAAATCATTTTGGTTCTAGTCTACCCCATGTGGGGTTAGCCAGTTGATTGGGTACACCTATCTGCACATATGGGCTAAGAAATTCCACTAATTCTACACAGAGAGACCTAATCAAGAGAGCACTTTTACCTACTATGTTGCAGGAAAAAAAACATATTCAGAACAAGCAGAAAACAAATAAGCCACTTATACCAACATGTGCTTTCTCCAGATTCCACACATTCATAGACTTTCTTCCAGCCACCTCTAGTGAGATGACAATTCTTTGATGGGACTAGTTTGATTTGAGTGGATTAAGTTCCCTGCACTGAGGCTGGTGTAAAGTTTTTGAAAGGCTTGCAAATAGGATAAAACTTTGAACCTTATGTGTGTGGTGATGTTTTATGGAGGTGGAACAATGATGTCAATCTATGGATATCTAGTGTAGCAGGTAAAACAGTTCATATATATAATCTCAACTACATAGATAACTGTTTGGTTCAATTCCAATATTAACCAATTCTCTACTTTGCCCATTATAGGAAAGTAAGAGGGTAACTTATTGAAACCAATCCTTCCCTACACACACTCACACACACACACACACATACACACACACACACACACCACCACACCACACAATCACCTTTACTTTGCTCTTGTGCAAATCCACCAGAAGTGAATTCAGACATGTGTATGGGTGAGTATGTGATTCTCTCTCTCTCTCTCACCCATGTGACAGCACTGAAGAGAAAGTCCATAATCCTGTGTAAGCTCATTCATCTGTTTACACCTTACACAGGAGTGATGGGGGAACAAGGAAAGTTGAATATATACTGCTAGGGAGAGTTAAGTTTTGTGACCCTGTTGCTTTACTCTGCAAAGAGACAGGGTCACTTTAAATGAACAGGTCTTGGTTATATAAATATATGCAAATTTATCATTCAACATATTGGGTTAACAATGTAATGATGATGTTGATGACAATGATCACGCTAACCATTGTCAAATGCACTTAAAAGCAAAATTTTAAGTAAAACCTTTAACCTTATGTGCACATAACACAAACATGTATTTGCTTCCTATCTGAAGTATGCAATTTGAGGCATATGTCTTATAGACCCACATTGGAAATAAAACTCTGCCTCTACCTTTGCCTCTCACTGTATTTATGATATGGTTTATAATTGCCACTTTGCAGTTCTGGGTACTGTATATGGGCACTGAGCATCTGCAACAAAATTAAATCCAACTGTGCTTTCCTGGAAAATGAGAGAGAAAATTAGTGTTTTCTGAATTATTTAAGTCTGCTGGCTACTGCAGGATGACAAGTAGTGTTATTGAAACTGTGTGTAGAATGACTGCAAAAGTGCCACCCATTCCACAATTAAACCAATAAATGGAGAGAATTAGTGATGTATCACTTAAAATGTTTTGAACATCATCAGTAATGGTATAGCTCTCACATGAATACTGTACAAGTTATAGTAGTTGTACTGAGCAATATTCCAATTTGGAATTTTTATCAAACCTGAAGCAGACAAACTCTGGAGCAACTGTGCATGGCAACCAATCAGCTTCTCTCTCATTTCCAAATCTTAACTACACAAACTAAAGAGAGAAGCTGATTGGTTGCTGTGGGCAACTGTTGCAGATTTTGTCTGTTCAGTATGTTCACCTAGTAAAGTATGCAAAGAAGTAAACTGAAAAAAAATTATATTGAATAAAAATTCAGACCCAGTTTTGGTTTGATTGTTCAAAGCAGCTTAGGCTAGCTGTTGTTGGACAAGACTTTCAGTGAGTTGCTGGAGATAGGTGGTCTCATTTTATTTAAACACGTTTCCCAGTGTTGCTGTTCACATTCCTAGTTATTGTACAGTATACAAAATAAACAAAAAAGGAGTACATAGACACATTGAAATCCAACCTCTTTTTTTGCAGAAAAGTGACATAGTGAAATTAGCATAACAGTTGATTTCATATCATAGCTAGTTTCTACTTACTAATAATACATTTTATGATGATTAATAAACATTAAAGGATAGACTGATTCTCCCAAATAACATGCATTGTGCATCACAACAATATCATTAGTTGATGGGTGCAGTACAGTTGCTACAAATTGGGAGATCCCAGCACAAAGCTGCAAGGGTTGGTCTTCGACACAAAAAACCTTCATGTAGGAGAGGTGAGCATGCAAACATAAATTGAAGTTTACTTAAGAAGGGGGTTAGTGTTAGAGTTAGGGATACGGGTATTGTTTATTAGTGTGAGGGTTAATATTACAGGGCTTACAGGTAATGTTATTGTGAGGGCTATTATTAGGTCAAAGGGAGGGTTAGTGTGAAGCTTAGTGTTAAAGGAAAGGTTAGTGAGAGGGTCTGTGTTACAAGAAGGGCTAATGTGAAGGTTAGTGTTAGGTTTACAGGAAAGGTTAGTGTGAAAGTAAGTATTAGAAGTGCATGGAGAGTTAGTGTGAGGGCTAGTGTTAGGTATGAAGTACCGTATAAGGAATAAGGTCAGTTTTAGGGCTACAGGAAGATAATATAAAGTGTTACAGTTACAAAAAGGGTAGTGTAAAAGTTAGAGATTGTATGTGACATTTAAATACCACCATATTCTTAGCAAGCAGTAAATCAGGTTAAAAACACACCTTCTCTGACCTTTGTGGCTGCAGCCATGTGCAGCAATTTATCCTCAAAGTTCACAGCAGAAGTAGGTCTATGCTCTCAGCACCCTAGCTCACCCTCTCACCTTGCCCAAGAGGCCCCCACCAGAGCTCTTGCTCTGTTTTCATAATACAGATTAGAAGGCTAAAAGTTTGCTGTGAATCACTGTCAGGAGGGTGACATGACCTGGCACTGACCTCAGTGCTTTGGCTGTGAATTTTAGGGTCGGATTTCTTCACATTGCATGCATCTACAGATGTCAATGAGGGCTTCTTTGAAGTTCCTTGACTGCTTGAATTGAAATTTAAAGTAGAACTCTGGCCAAATTTTTTTTAGTTTTGGGTTCATTGGGGAAAAGTTAGAGTTTATGTCAGGATTTTATTGTCATCGCTGTCCCTGTTTAGGAAATTATCTTATTCCCTGTTGTGTTACGAGAGACAGGAGAATCTCTCCAACAAAGATTAAGTACTTTTATTAGTAGAGTGAGGCAATATTGGAACCTCTGTCAGGTTTTACGATGTTGTCCATTTCCCAGTAAGGAAAATGTCCTTTCTTTCTCTTGTGTCACTAGAACAGGGAGGGAGAGACAATTGTCTCAACAATGACATAGACAAAGAAAAGATAATAAATATTCTAAAACATTTCTCTCCTCTATACAAAAATGCACCTTAGACTCTTAAGACCTATGTGCTGAGGTTAAAATGTGCATTTAGCATGCATTACTGCAATGTTAGGCTCCCTGTGTGATGTGTTTCAATTTATTTAGAATGGTACCCCAACACACAAGTTGGTAGTAATGGACCTACTAGTTTATTTATTCTATTAATTGCCTATTCCAAATGATAAATAATAATATTTTAAAATGATTAATATTCTAAATTAATCCATTTCCATAATTTAATGAACCAAAATTGAGCGGCATATTCTACAGCAACCATGTCACTGTGGTAAAAAAAACCGCTTAGGGATGATCGAGTTTGTGGCAACACAGGGTTCTCCGTAAACTCTGGTTTGTACAGTTCACTAAAAGGCTGAACTAAAATGTCCTCTTTCCTGTCTACCCACTAAAACAAACCTCTGGCTGTTGCAGGCCGTAATCATTTATTTAGCTGTGGTAGTACTACCACCACTAAATGTGACTGGTTCCCACTCATGGCCACACATTTAAACCCCCTCAGGATTTACACCATGAGGACATTATTTGGGCTTTTTTTCTAAGGCATGCGTGTTTATTTAGCATTTTTTGTAAACATAAGTAACCAGGGTACTATCTACTACAATATGTCCCCCGCAGACCCCCACATCCTCTTGTGGACCCAATATGGGGAAGAGGCACTTGTCCTTGCCCACTAAGGACAAGGTGTCTAAGCCACTTTCCAGGCTGGATGTCTGGATAAGGGTCTGAGGTTTTTTTTTTATTTGTCACTTCTGCTGTAGATTACACTAAAGCAAAAGTGACATTTTAAAATGGAATTATCCTTGATAACTGTTTTTTCTTTTTAAAATGTCACTTTTACTCTAGTATAGACTACAGGTACGCCGCTTCACTTACAGGTTTACAGCATCCCCCAAGCATATAATTTAAAGGATTTTTTTTTATTGTTGTCTTTTAAACCTTATTAAAAGGTCTGTTCCCTGCTGAACAGTATTAAAATTCCAACTCATTTCACCCAGTCTCTTATCCAGGCATGCAAATTTCATGGCAAGGAAATAGAGGACAGCTAGCATGCACCCCCCCTTCCTTGACCCTAACACCTGACCAAATAAAAATAAATAAAGACAATTTGATTAATTATCGCCGATGTAAATGCATTATCAATCATGATGGACCGCTGCCTGATGATTTTTCCCCACTGCCATCATGACCCATCACCCAACGATGTTGCCAAGCCACACTCCTGCCA